ACTGTTTCATTGCCGATCTCGAAAATACTATACTTAGACTAACAATTGACAATCCCTATCTATAAAAAATATATTTAGATGACGCTTTCATTATTTGTGACAAGAGTACCAATGTCAGCTACATTCTCAACAAGTCTAATAGCATTTTTCAATCAATTAAGTGCGCAATTGAATCAGAGTCTGATTCAGACAGACAGATAAAACTCAGAACTTCGTACGTAAGTACATCAGTTCAGGTTGCCATACCACATCAACACACAGACGCAACTGTCAGTTCAAATCCAGGAGTGATAGCGATAATAGAAGTATTAGCAGTAATGGAGAAGATTAGGGAGCGAAGATATGATTCGATAAGTATAATTCAGTGAGATAAATTTAGAAGGAGAAAGATAGATATTATGAGGAATTCAGAAGGTTAGAATTAGAGCGAACACAAAGAGTGGATGCACCTGCGCCATCGCAAACGATTCTGAGCCATGTCGCTACAGGTCTCTAACCATTGGTGACTTTCGTCTCGCAGACCCCAACCAGGTACCCTACATCTACCAACATGACTCAGTCTATTTGTCAGTGACTTCATGGATTTGTGCCATGTTTTGGTTTGGCCGCCGCTAGCTTTCTTCCAACTTAATCCTACATCACAAAACATAGCTCGTCGCGGCAGTCAGTGGTTAGGCATACGTAACACATGTCTCAGCCACCTTAACTGATTAAGTTTCAGCACTTCATCTATTGATTTGCCATCCATACCTAGTACTCGTTTCCTAACGACAGCATTGCTTATACAGTTGTCCCAGGATACACGAGCAATGCTTCGGATACACCGATGATCGAAGACTAGTAACCTACGAAAGTCCTCTACCCTTAACGTCCATGTTTCGCATCCGTATCGTAGGACGGAGCGAACTACTGCACGGTACAGAGTCTGATTCAGAATTCCACTTCTTAGATGTTCTGATAAAAAAAGACCTGATGCTTATCTTTAAAGATCAATTTATAGAAAACCAAATATGGATTGGTGGATCAATACATAGATTTTATCAATTGAGTCCAACTGAAACCAACAAGAAACTTAATTCATTCTGCATGAAGGCTTAAATAAATCTATACTGAATATAGAATCGATATAGAACTTGATAAACTACGGTAGATACTCATTGAAAATGGATCACCACCTAGAATCAATCATTGAGGAAAACTTGAAGACAAATAAAAACAACGTCAAATATTGTGTCCTTAGAACCAATGAAGACTCTTCATGAATCTTCAGCCTAAACGAAATATTACTGTAAAAGTTTTGAGAAATAAACTTCTGAAATCTCTGATAAGAATATTCCATTCGTCTGAACTTATTATTTTTCCTAGTTGGCCTGTGATTTGTAGCTGTGTGGAGTAACAAACTTCTGATTTTGTCCAAATCAATGTGCATCTACCGCTCTACTTGTTCATATAGAGTAGGTTTGTGGTGCGCGCTACTTATAAGTAGTATATGATGCGAGTGAAAACGTAATGTCTGGCAGCAGTAGATGGGGGAAGATCAAGAAAGGAAGAGTGGAAACACAATGGAATTTGTATGAAACGCATAAACAGCGAAATGTTAGACAATGGATTGTAGATTTGCAAATTAACCGTTTACGATATGGTTTTCCTAGTTTACTGATTAACTCTGTAATTTGCGATAAATACAATTCGGTTGTCCTCACCTGTGTTCTCCTTCACTGCAGGTTGTGTTGGCTGCATCATATAGAGCAACCTCTGTCGAAACACTAGCCTACATTGTTTTCTAAAAGATTATGGAAGTCAATCAAAGATTCAGTTTTGGAATATCTATAATCAATTCTGGCTATTTCGATTCACCATAAACCTCCATCAAAATCATACAGTCAGAAATTCAGCTCAAGTGGAATGGAAATGAGAAACGTGAGTATACAGTAGAGGCTATCACCATTCACTAGTTTCAGTTTAACTTTATGTTATCGCTTACTCTTCCTTAGTCTTGAGATTCTCTTTTCTCCTATGCGCTAAGGGCTCTTCTACGGTCGTTATTTCTAATCCTTTTCGAAAACTTTTTCATTTTTATTTACATTTTGTTTTTGCGTTCACATAAACATTGGTAGGAAGGAGCATTTCAATGCGTATGCGTTACATAAATTATTGAATTTATCAATGGGATGGGATACTGCAAGGACGCCCAAACTGAAGCAAATGCTTTTCTCAGGTGATCATACCCCAAGCCTTTGACCCAAAAGTCTAAAATCCACAAGGCAGTGGGACAATGTTAGGAGATGCAGTATCATGGTAACCGGTTTATGCACCATTCATTCCATTGGAATCCTGGAGCCTGTGTGTACCACTGGTCTGGAATTAGGGTTTTCTAAATCTGCTAGTTGGATCGTTCATACCCACCAACGCGGACACTCGTTTTTCGTCCTCTCAATTGGGTAAACTCTACCTATACCACGAAAAGGCATTAGTAAGGATTTACGCGGTAGTGGCTATATACTCATGACTATTTGAGAACATTTCGAGAGAGAGAGAGAGCAGACTCTTGATTATACCACAGCATTACTCTTACAACTAGTTATTATCACGACTTTCATTTGTTCTATTCTTAATCGATATCAACTGGACAATTATCTTCACCTTAACATTCTTTTACTAACTGATTACTCTATAGATTTTCAATACCTGATTTCCATCAACAACTTATTCATTGCTCGGCATTCGCTTCGTGTGTGATTTTCTTATCAGTGTTGTGTGATAATAAGCGTCATCAATGCTTCGTGTTATCTTCGGAATTCCAGACACCGTCGGAAGTTATCTGGTAACGGTTAGTAGGACGAGCAGTATACGTAGTTTAGGAATTATTTCGAATATGATCTTTCACAACTTATTCTTCACAAACCATTCAATAATTCATATATTACTATCCATCTTTGAACATGTATGTATCGGTATTAATATCAAGAAAAAGGCATCCTCAGATAATTGAATCGTCCTAATTCGTACAGTAACGCTTTCTATAATTTCTCATTACTTACAAGGATAGTACAGGAGTTACTAAGAGGAAACTTAAACGATAAAACTACTTAAATTGGCCAATAAACAAAATTCCTTAATTTTCTGCCCATTCAGTAGTGTATATTTCAATATAGAACCAGTACTATATGCATCCCAGAAGAAACAAATACATTGTGTACTACTGTGAAAGAAAATGAGTAGCCTGAGAAATTAATAACCGAACACTTAGTCATGAGAAGAAAGCAGAACGAAGTCCTGACTGTGAACAAAAAGATTCTGTATAAAAGACTACAATTAAGAGGTGATGCACTTAGCGAAATGTTAGTGATAAAGTTACACAGAGTAATTCAAAGAATCTTTAATACAAGTAAACTATAATCAATGTTTTCCACACGTCCGATAGTCACTCCGAAAGATAAATTACCATGACTAGCCATCTTTTTCTGTACCTAACGATTCAAATGCTCCTATGGAGCAAGTAACACCGACAGATGTTCCAGGAATCTGTATTGTCGTGCTCTTGAGCACCTCTCAGTGCGGTTGAGCAAAGGTATAGTTAAGTCTGCTGACACATAAGTACAAACAGGCAATACAACCAGTATGGAGTAATCTTGTTAACATCAATCTGTCTAAATCCGTCAGATTAGACATACTTCAGACGGCTGAAGTAACAACAATTCAGATCAAAAGCTAGAGCATTATGTCCACAAAAACCATGTTCAACCACTCTTGAAAACAATATTCTTCGTTCATATGATGATGAAATTTTTTTCTGGATATTTTTTAAAGGTAACTGACTATCATTATATAAAGTTTATGTCCTTCATAAAGTTACTTACCAATAATAAATGCTAGTTTGAAATTTTAACATGTATTTTCTTTTCTTCAAATGTGGTGATTCGATCACACATAACACTACCCAAATTTTTACATAAGTTACTCATTTCGAAATTTGGGTAAGAAACTGAAAAGCCTTTTGCTGATTTCAACTGACTCGGTTCATTATTACAGAGATATTCGATCACATGGGACAACCGAGTAACCAATGCTGCCATTAGGAAACGAGTACAAGGTAAGGATGGCAAATCAGTAGATGAAATATTGAAATTTCATCAGTTGAGGTGGTTGGGACATGTGTTACGAATGCCTAACCACCGACTGCCTCGATGAACTATATTTTATGGTGTAAGAGTAGGTTGAAAGAAAGTTAGGGGTGGCCAGACCAAAACATGACAGAAATCCATGAAGTCATTGACAAGTGTACTGAGTCATGTTGGTAGATGTAGGCTACCTGGTTGGGGTACGCGAGATGATAATAATCGATGGTTAGAGACCCTGAATGACATGGCTGAAAACCGTTTGCAATGGCGCAGGTGCATTCTCATCTTCTGGATTCGTCAACGCCTCTACCTTTGTCTTTCTAAGCGTATCTCACTGAATTATACGTCTTCAATAATATCTTCAAATCCTAATATTCTCCATTATCAGTAAAACTTCTACTATCTCTACCACTATGGGATTTGAACCGACAATTGCGTCTCTGTGCTAATGTGGTGTGGCAACAACCTGAACTGATGTACTTACGTACGAAGTTCTACGTTGTAACTGACTGACTGACTGATTTGATCACACAACACTATCCGACTGTTTATATGACGTAAGTTACTCATTTCTAAATTTGGGTAACAAACTGAAAAGCCATTTGCTGATCTCAGCTGACTCGGTCCAATATTACTGAGATGACAGGGGCGGAGGCTAATTAGAGATTTACGCTTTACATATAAAATCTAGAAAGAAATATAATCAGTGGCTCAAGAGATCTACATGTGTTTATTTTAGAAAAAAGTTCAAGTAAACAAAATAAGATAATAAGTGATTTGAATCAAAGCAGAATCGAATCAATCTGGAAGACTTTACATCACAAAACATAAATATCTCATTAAATTTTTACAAAAATAAAATCTTTAGAAAATATTGTTTCATTCATCAGATTTTCCATGCAGTATTTGAGCATAAGATAAAGTTGAAATAGTTGAAACATTACAATAAGGTTTTGAATCTTTTGGTAATTTTTCATCTTTATCAGGAAGCTTACCAATTTCAGGAAATTCACGTTTAACCACATTGGTCAAACTTCCACGGTTACTTATTGATCCAGCAGGTAGTTTGGAGTAGCCACGTCTTGCAATAATCATTACATGACAATTAGATCCTGGATCACATGTACTCGCTTCCATACCATAATATTCTACAATATCATGAATGAATCGACGTTTTCTCTTATTCATAGGAGGAAAATGATGAGTTAAAACTCGTGGGTACTCTTTTGGATTATTTGGATCGAACGGTTCAATATTGGCTCTTAAGAACTAAAATGAAAGAGAAATTCGATTTTCAGTTGACAGTGTAGTGATTGGCATGTATACGTTAAAAGTGTCTTTCAGTGTATTTAATATAAATATGGCGCAGGTTATTGAAAACCTTTTTTCACAGTTTTTGTTTTTACATCTGTAAAAAAAACCCTTTTTTTTCTGAATATTCCCATTGTGGTGTGAGCTACTTATAAGTAGTATATGACGTGAGTGTCAACGTAATGTCTGGCAGCAGAACATGGGGGAAGATCAAGAAAGGAAGAGTTAGAAAACAATGGAATTTGTATGAAACGCATGAACAATGACATTGGATTGATGTTTTGCAACAGGAACAGTCCAGTTCGATATGATGAACTGATATTTCGCAAATGAACGATTTACGATATGGTTTTCTTATTTTACTGAGTAACTCTGTAATTTCGCTAAATACAATTCGTTTGCCCCACCTGTGTTCTCGTTCACTACACCATCATTAATTAAATGAGTTTGATTTGTTTCAGCTCAGTGTAGTTTTCTATTGGCTTTCTTCTCACTAAAACAGCATGTTGTTTATCATATCATATATATTGTCATATCGTTAAACCTGTTGTTATTACACTTTGAATAACACTGTTAGGATATTCATCCAATATCCCAAGAGAATTATTGGTCAATTCATACTGGTCAATTTTATTGTCATCCTACATATCAATGTCACGTACTCCAATGTTGTCTCTTATTGGTCGTCCTGACTGTCAGTGTCACTTCAAATGTTATCGCTCATTCGTCGTCTTAACTGCCAATGTCACAGATTTCGATGCTGTTTCCTATTCGATCTAACTGTATAAATACTCATTATCTGTAAAGTTTTATGACCTGAACTCGGATCACTAGTCCGGAATCCTTAGCCTCTTCTGGACTCGGACCTCGTACTTTCTGGATGCTTGTAGAATACACGTTCTACTTCATATCAAGTCTACTTCTTTTACTCATTGGGGGGTTGGGACACTCAGATTAGAGTAGTATGTCGTGTCACCGGATCCTCGCTCTCGTTTTCTAACTAAGGTAAATTCGTAATAGTTCAAGCATATCAAAATGACGTGTTTACGTTCATGTGTAACAAACACACATCTAGGAAAAAGATTCACGAAATGATTGATTAATCTTCCAAGCATTATAAAAGTCAACAGTATCTGAAGTTTACAATCCATTGCATGAAAGAAAGCTTTTCTTTTTCAATAAAAACTATTTTGATAAAACTTTTGGTGTTCTAAAGGAATATGTTCCAAACAAGTTATAATTTATCCCGTAAACTATCGTGTTATAATAGTAGTATCATTTACACAACTTCCCTCTACCACCCCCCACCCCGGTGTACAAGAATAGTTGAAACGAGAGAGAAAATCATCATTATCTTAATGTTAGAAATAACGAAATACGAAATATATTACGTGATATGATGACAGGACAGTCAAAAGTGGCCAAATGAGAAGGCCACTTGATGACCATCAGAAAATGTCATCAAAGAAGAAAATGCACATTATTGGGTCAAGAAATGGTTTCCTTTTCTAAGGAAGTGAAATATGTACATTTATATACATGAACAAGTACTTGTGCACATTATTCAATAGCCAGATAGATTTTGCCTGTTTACAGGGTTAACAAGAATCCCAATCAGATCAAATAACTACATATTTAATCTACGGGAAATTTTGATTCAGCAATATACAGAGATGTTTATGAACAATGGTAAGAATGTCAACATCATAGATAATCCATAAATCTTCTGGATTCTTCAACACCTCTAGTTTTGACTTTCTAAACTTTTCTCACTGAATCATACTTCTTGAATAATATCTTCTAATCCTAACCTCTCCGAATACTTCTAATACCTTTACTACCTCTACTATTATTGGATTTGAATTGACAATTATATCTCTGTGTTGATGTGCTATGACAACATGAACTGATGTACTTACGTACGAAGTTCTACGTTGCAACTGACTGACTGATATACATAAAAAAGTTAGGAAATATTCAGAGCAATCAATAACTCTAGGACTATATAATAAAATATACACCTATTTATTAATACCATGATCACGTGGATTCTTATTGTTTTATAATTTGCCATTAAAAAAAAAACATTCTATCATTATTCGTTCACAATAAATAATGTATACATCATCTTTAACACAGTATTATTATTATATAAAGATAACAATGAAAAATAATGCTTCCAGGGTTACGGATTTTTAGAGAAGCTTCAAATGCTAAACACACAAATTTGTGATATTCTGTCAATTTAATTTGAAAATTTTTTCTCTTACATCTAATATGGTCACTTATTTTCTTAAATTATCTTTTTTTTGTTTGTCTGAAATATAAAACTCTCTTAATCAGTTTAGTAAAGTGCTAGAAATTATGAAAATCAACAAGATAAAATTGAATGACAAAAAATATGGAATATAAGTAGTATATGTATGTAGAATCAAGTTGCATTCAAATAAATAAACTATGGTAATAATAATTCATACATTCATAAATAATAAATACCATTCTGTTAGGATATTCATCAAATATCCTATGAAGAATCATTTTGTAAAGTGTAAATTCTATTGGTCCATTCCTACTGGTCAATATTATGGTCATCTTAGCTATTAATGTCACGTACTCCAATGTTGTTTCCTATTGGTCGTCCTAACTGTTAATGTCACAGACTTCAATGTTGTTTCCTAGTCGACCTAATTGTATAAATACGCATTATCTGTAACGTTTTATGACCCGGACCCGAGTTCCTAGTCCGGGATCAAGACTTTCTTCTGGACGCTTGTTTAATACATGTTCTACTTCATATCAAGTCTTCTTCTTTTACTCAATTTGGGGTAGGGATACTCGGATGAGAGTAGCTTTTCGTGTCGCCGGATCGTCGATCCTCGCTCTCGTTTTCCGACTGAAGTAAACTCGTAATAGTTCAGGCATATCAAAATGACATGTTTACGTGTATGAGCGTAACACATTCCTACTGTATTACTGGGTTGTGAAGATTGTTAAGTTATACATTTTTGAAACCATGAATCGATCAATGTTAGACCACCATTAGAAACCTGCAAGCACTGGACGGCCGTTTCGTCCTGGTATGGGACTCCTCAGCAGTGCGCATCCACGACTCCTGCACCCCGCAGGATTCGAACCCAGGACCTTCGGTATTGTGCGCGAACGCCCTAACCGACAGACCACTGAGCCGGTATCTAACGGTGTTAATGTCGAACTTGACCAAATTCACGGAGTTGCGCAACCTCATACACAGTCTTCGGTAGTTACTGTCTACACCCGAACAGGTTGAACTTCACTGGTCACGTCTTCCTGGGCTCGAATCCTGAGGGGTGCAGGAGTCGTGGATGCGCACTGCTGAGGAGTCTCATACCAGTACGAAACGGCCTTCCAGTGCTTCCAGTTTTCTATTGGTGTAGTCTAACATTGATCGATCCATGGTTTCAAAAAATGTGTAACATTCCTATTGTGTAGAAAGAGAAGCAAACAGAAACCTGTCATTGCATGATACATGTCTGAGATTATTAATATTTACAAGTAGACAGTTTTTATTTCTTTATCTGTATTTTTTTTTAAAAATTGGTTATTTCCACAATCTAACTGGTTTCTTTTTAGTAGTTACTTGAAACTGTATCAGTCCCATTGAACTGTGGGACCACTACTTCGTGTGCTTATGTTTAAAGAGATGAGACAATCAACCTCATCTACATGCTTCTGGTTAAATCTAAAAAACATCATTGTGTTTTGTTAATAAACTGAAAACACTAAACATAACTCTCTTTCACAATAAATAAAAAAACTTACTTGCATAATCATGCTTTTTAACTGTTCCTCAATTTTTTCAACAAAAGTAAAATTTCTCAGCGCAAATTGTTTTAAATGATCAGGATAATTTGGCGGATCAAATGGTGTACATTGATCATCATCATCATCATCATCACTTGAATTATGCCTTAAAGCATCAGAACTATTGATAAAACCTCTTTTCCATGTGCTTGCACCAGAATATTGACTTGTTGTTGTATTTGATTCTGTAGGATTGATACAAGAATTATCACAAGCTAATAAAGGTATTGGTTTGCGGAAATCAATGCCAGTTAAAACGGATTGACTACTACCACCACCAGCACCACCACTTGTCAATGATACACTATTCACACTACGTTCATGCTCCAAAAGTAGATATTGTTTTGTATATACCTAGAATGAAAATTGTTAGTTTTGATAAGTGTATTCAATAAAACTCATTATTATTATCATTATTATATAAATAATTTTACGTGGATGTTTTTTCAAGACAATCAGACATTGGTCACATGTTGTTAACACTACATACAACATGCACAGCATATACAGAGTTCAATCTTATGGCGCAACCACATAGGGTAACAACTAATATCCTTGGTCGATTAAATTGTATGAACAATTGTCAATTAAGAATGTTTGAGAAAATTGAAATTTTTACCCTAGTATCTTGCACAAGTGCATCTAACCATAAGTGTATTGATTTTACTACTTAAATTCCACTTATAAAATAAATAAATCATTAAATGCTCGCTCACACCCAAAATGTGTTTATTATCTATAAACCAACCAACCAATCAGACACCAGTCGAGAAAAAAACAATTCATTTTGTGAGTAGTTTATAAGAATCTATCATAAAGTTAGGAGGTTGTTTTATGCCAAATAACATCATATTCATACGAAATTATATTGACAGAATTAAGTATCTGTTTTGTTTAAAGAAGAGTAAGTTTAACTTGTGACCTACAAAATTTATTGATAATAAAAATCGAAGAAATTCTTAACTCTCAGTAAGTTTTGTGACTTTCTTTTATAAAGAGATTTTGTTATCCATGAGGTTATGGAATGAAATGAGTACATTTTTAGAAAAATTGTAACTATTGGATATTAAATATTTCTTTTGTCATGTGATATAAGAGGTAAGTATTATAAGCGTTGTCACAGATACGGACGGATACAGTGTTATTGGTTAGGTTGTATCTAGTAGCATTCTGATGGTCATCAGCTAACATGATAAAGGGTAATATATTTGCTATTTTACGGTTCGTAAAGCGCATTTCGATAAGAATCAGAGGCCCTATTTAGAATGTGTGTGTGTGCGCTGAAGAAATGGTAGAGTACGAGCATACATAGATCCTCACCACCCAAATCTCTCCGATTACTGCTAATACTTCCACAATCTCTACCATTATGGGATTTGAATTGACAGTCGTGTCTCTGTGCTAATGTGGTATGGCAACTTGAACTGATGTATGTACGTACGTACGTACCTATTCAACGAAGAAGGTTCCAATAAATACTCAGTGTCCAGCTTTCATCTATAGTAAATTTAATTTATTTATTGAAGATTACCTAGACTGTTGTTTATGGGAATGTGCATCACAATCATCAATGCGAATAATTCCTCCGGGATGAAAACAATTTGCGGTTGAGTAGGCTAACTGACACTGGAAAACATAGCCCTGTAATAGAATGCTAATGTGGTGCGAGCTACTTATAAGTAGTATATGACGCGAGTGTCAACGTGATGCCTGGCAGCAGAAGATCGGGTAAGATCAAGAAAGGAAGAGTGGGAACACGATGGAATTTGTATGAAACGCATGAATAGTGAAATGTCAGACAATGGATTGATGATGGATTGAAGATTTGCAAATTAACCGTTTACGATATGGTTTTCCTATTTTACTGAGTAACTCTGTAATTAAATACAATTCGGGTTGCCCTCACCTGTGATCTTCTTCACTACATTTGGTGTGATTAAACGGGTACATTCATATTTTATTTACTAATTGATAATCTAATATATTTTTTTCGTTATGAACAAAGTTATTATGGAGAACCAAAAACGGAAAAACGAGACGTCGAAAAACGTAAGAAACGAATACATATGGAGATTGGCTACGCACAACACTTATTTTTTATTGCTTTTTTAAAAATTCGTAACTAGTTTGTTGATGAATAAAACAGTCATTTTAATTTCTGTATTTTTGATGTCAATGTAACCGTGCGGCCGTACTGCACCTATGAATCAATCTGATTCTATAAATATTTCACAATGTGAATTGTTTACGAAATAACAATCATGTGCGTTGTGTGTGTGTGTGTGTGGGATATTGCAACACTGTTTTAATTTATATTCGGTTGAAGCTAGACGGCAATGTTTTTACTGAGTCTATTCAAATGGAAGTTAAATGCATAATCTATCAATAACTGCACTACCAATTTGGTATTATATGAATACGATGTACAATTGAGATAATATGATTGGGCATTCATGTTTAGTGGATATCTATTACATTGGTATACGAGGTGATTTTAATTCTCAACCAATCAATCAATCAACAACAACGTAGAACTTCATACGTACGTACGTACATCAGTTCAAGTTGACATACAATATTAGCACAGAGACTCGACTGTCAGTTGAAATCCTATAGTGGTAGAGATTGTAGAAGTATTAACGGTAACGGAGGAGATTAAGGATCAAAGACATGATTCGAGAAGTATAATTCAGTGAGGTAAATCTAGAAAGAGAAAGATAGAGGTGATGAGGAATTCAGAAAGTTAGAATTTCACAGAACACAAAGAATAAATGCACCGGCGCCATTGCAAACGGTTTTGAGCCATGTCATTTAGGGTCTCTGACCATCGATTATTATCATCTCGCGGGCCCCAACCAGGTAGTCGACAATTACCGACATGGCTCAGTCCACTGGTCAATGACTTCATGGATTTTTGCCATGTTTTGGTTTGGCCGCCCCTAACTTTCTTTCAACCTATTCCTACACTACAAAACATAGCTCGTCGAGGTAGTCGGTGGTCAGGTATACAGAAAACATGTCTCAACTATCTCAACTGATGAAGTCTCAACACATCATGATCAATCGTTCCAATGTTTATTAACAATCAGTAATTATTTTTTGTGGAGTTCAAACAGGACTGGTATCAGTCAGTCAGTTAGTTACAACTTAGAACTTCATACGTACGTATATCGGTTCAAGTTGCCATACCACATTAGAACAGAGACGCAACTGACGATTCAAATCCCGTATTAGTAGAGGTATTAGAAGTATTAGTAGTGATCGAAGAGATTAGGGCTCGAAGATATTATTCATGAAGTAATAAACTTAAAAACAGAAAGGTGATGAAGAATTCAGAGGATTAGGATTTGAGAGAAGCCAAAGAGTGGATGCACCTGTGTCATTGCAGACGATTTTGAGCCATGTCATTCAAGGTCTCTAACTATCGATTACTATCACCTCACGGTCCGAGGACCAGGTAGTACACACCTACCAACATGACTCAGTCTACTTTGTCAGTGGACTTGACGGATTTGTGCCATGTTTTGATCTGGCCGTCCCTAGCTTTCTTCCAACATATTCTTACATCACAAAAAACGAACTTGAAGAAGCTGAAAGGACATTTAAAGACTAACTGATCACTACTAATTTTAAATTAATCGTTTGTTTTACTCTGCTCATATTTCAAATTTATCGAACTGTTTCGAACAGAATATGCAGAATTTGAAAGGGTTACATTCAATGCTAGTAGATCTGTACTATATAACACTATAATTTTATAATCTATGTCAGATTCACTACAAAAGAGTTTGAATTCACTTATTTGAGTCAAACATAACACTGACAGGTTTAACTAAGAGTATAGGCAATTTGTCGATAATTAAGTTAATCAGTAAAAATGCAAGAAAAAGAAGATTGAATCCTGACTACTAATAAGTAGTGTAGTAATAAATCAAGAATTTTACATTACAGTGACTAACTAGTAAACCAGTTGCTTTCAAATAACATGAACCTACTAATTAACATTAATCATAGCAAGGCGGAAAAAAAGAATTTCCAGTACGAAAAACATTAGAATCCTTGTTCAACCATTAAAAAGAATTATCTTTTGGAAAAAAGTGAGCATAAATGACAGGATCTTGAGACAATTGACAACCTGATGGATCAGGAATTGAAGTAGATAACCATGTAGGTTATTATACAAGCTTTTTGGTAGTAAAATAGTACTGATCTAATAGATGGTTTGATCAGTGTGATTATGTATCTTGATCAAATAATATTAGCTTCTATTAATCATATATAACTAGAGAAGTGTTGCCAGTTTACTTTAAAGGATTAGACAAACAATCAATGTATGTATCATACTGTGATCGATTGTGAGCCGACTCATCTGACGTTTTCAACAATAGATTACACGATATTCATGTTAACTACATGCAGGTAGTCTGTATCTAGAAACATGTCTCTCATCAACAGCCAATGACATTACGAACAGACGTCACGTCCTGGTTCAACCTCCGTCTTCCTACCGGTTTTTTCGTTTTTCAGACAACATTGACAAAAAGTGATTTTATATTATCATAAAAATGATTAAGATTACCTGATGACATTGTTGACTTTCTCTGAGTTTTCCACAGCGACAAACAACATCTACTAATGTAGTACAAATTGGCTGGGTCGCTTCTGAACCACGATCAGCGAAAGCCTCCAAACATGATTGATTTCGAACTTCGTGACAAGGTAAACCACATGGATGTCCACAAACAGGACGAGGTTTCTGACAAGGCTGACTGCATACCGTATTACACTCTTCGTTGGATGAATTCCGATCGTAACAAGGACCAGTGTGACATTTACGCTGACAAAGATGTGAACAACCTGGAAGTGGTTTGTTGCAAATTTTACCGCAACTTCGAATATCTTGAAAACAAGGCACTTTAAACTGTACTCCATGTCCTGATATAATAGGAAGTAAAAAGTGATAAACAGTTAATTTAGTTTGAAAGAAATAATATTTTAAAAACTAGGAAATAAGAATTAGTAAGTCAAGCAATTAGGGATAGTGAATAACTTGACATAAATGTGTATTAGTATGCATTTACTACGTTCCATTAGCGAGGAAAGAAATAAAGTTGAAGAGTAGAAGAGATGTAATGGTTTTGAACACGAGAACGTTATTTCAAAAGCGACGAATGAGATCTCAGAAGTAACCTCGGCATTAACCATCTGGTAGTCTGACTGTACATGAGAAGTGCTTTGAAGATACCGATAACCAAATATATTTCGAGCTCCTCTCATCTATGCTATACTTTCATAGCTTGTGTTTTTCAGCTGTAGAACAGTATACAGTGGATTGATGTAGAATGTTACGCATGCGCGTGAACTATTACGAGTCCACCCTAGTCGGTGAATGAGAGAGAGGATCGACGATCCAGTGACACGATAGGCTACTCTAATCCGAGCGTGCCAAACACCCATTGAATAGAAGAAGATGACTTGATATGAAGTAGGACCTGTATTCCACAAACATCCAGAAATTACGAGGTCCGAGTCCAGAAGAGAATCAGGATCCCGGACTAGGAATCCGGGTCGGGGGCATAAAACGTTACAGATAATGCGTATTTATACAATTAGGTCGAATAGGAAACAACATTGGAGTCTGTGACATTGATTGGTAGGACGACCAATAGAATTAGACTTACAAATAAATCCTCTGAGGATATCTTAACAGAATAAAATCACTTTTTGGTGTCCATGAAAATTTAGTAGATGTCAAAAAACTTGATATTTTATTGCAGTCAGCTTTACGTTACTCAATGTATATAAAAATACTCAAATTTAATTTGTACGTTAGGGAGTACATATTGGATTATAATTAGTATGAAGAATGCAGTTATTTGACATTCAAATTTATTGGGGAAAACCTTGAGAAACGAATACAGAGATTTAAATTTCTATAACTCAAAAGGTTACATATCACTTTAATTGAATTATGTAGGTTTATGTAAATACCTAATTAAGGAGTACACAATTCATTGCGATATCAATTTAAGATATATTTCTGTAGATCGATTCTGTGAGTATTCTCAAACATCAATTCACTCAAGACGTTCTCCCGAAATCAGAACACGGTTGAACAGGAAATAGATTATACTTCCAATAACAAGGTTAGATGGAAGTCAGAAAATGAAAAAGACGTTAGTATATTTATAGTTTTTACATGAGAGGATTCTAGAATGTTCCCCCGGCGCCGATTGGATACGAAAGGGCCAATCAGCGTGCAGCAACACAGTCATGCTTTCATCCAATCTACATCGAGCTAACACATACATTTAATATTAATCAATGATCAACAAATGAACAGTCATCATGGCGTCATAGACTTGATGTATCGATTTAAATTAGTGGAGGATAAGATGAATTTATGATTTCAATTGAATAGCACAATCTATAAGTGTAACAGAAAAGTATGATATGATCAACTCTGTACTGACTACACAAAGGCCTCAGATAAGTAAGTGCATATGAAACAAATTTCCGAAGTAGTGGAAATCCAATAGTTAAGTTCAACATTCAAATATTAAAAATCTCAGAACACCTATAGTGCAATTGTGAAAGCACACATATACATATAGTCAGTACTGTTACAGATTATGAAATCAACCTCCGATCAGTGATAATGAAAGAAATATGCCCCGATTTGGGTTACTTTTGATGGCTTACATATAACACAGTGTTCACTAACTTTGGAGGAAACTAAACAAGACA